AGGTGAAATAGAGAGCCTTTTTTAAGGAGAAGAGTCTAATTTGAAAGAAAAATGGCAATTGGCGTTGCCCATTCATTTCGCTGACTTTTCTATGCCGGGCACTAAAGCATGCAAAGTGTAATCAATGTGTGTAAGATGATCTCTACTGTAAAACAATCATTATAGGTGAAATAGAGAGCCTTTTAAGGAGAAGAGTCTAATTTGAAAGAAAAATGGCAATTGGCGTTGCCCATTCATTTCGCTGACTTTTCTATGCCGGGCACTAAGCATGCAAAGTGTAATCAATGTGTAAGATGATCTCTACTGTAAAACAATCATTATAGGTGAAATAGAGAGCCTTTTTAAGGAGAAGAGTCTAATTTGAAAGAAAAATGGCAATTGGCGTTGCCCATTCATTTCGCTGACTTTTCTATGCCGGGCACTAAGCATGCAAAGTGTAATCAATGTGTGTAAGATGATCTCTACTGTAAAACAACCATTATAGGTGAAATAGAGAGCCTTTTTAAGGAGAAGAGTCTAATTTGAAAGAAAAATGGCAATTGGCGTTGCCCATTCATTTCGCCGGGCACTGCATGCAAAGTGTAATCAATTTTCTCTACTGCAACCATTATAGGTGAAATAGAGAGCCTTTTTTAAGGAGAAGAGTCTAATTTGAAAGAAAAATGGCAATTGGCGTTGCCCATTCATTTCGCTTCGATTTTCTATGCCGGGCAAAGCATGCAAAGTGTAATCAATGTGTGTAAGATGATCTCTACTGTAAAACAACCATTATAGGTGAAATAGAGAGCCTTTTTATGAAGAGCAATGCTTATGAACTGATCCCGACTTTAGAACGACCAATATGATTGTAGGACACTTATTTCCTTCCTGTAACCATATCAAAGAAAAATACAAAGTGTAAATGCAAGTGTTCACTAACTTTTGCACATCTTAATTTTTAATTAACGTTTTTATTCCAGCTTAGTAAAAAAATTTGAAAGTAGCTGTATTTCATTTAATAAAGGTTTATTCTTAACGAATATTTAGTTAAATTAAGATTTGTTATCTGAAAAAAAAAGACAATTATTTTAAATATTATCTTAGGACTTCATTTACATTTGCACAGAACTGTATACTAACCGTGAACGTCTGAATTGTTGAACTAAGGGTTGTAGCTCGTCTGAACATTTTCCATGGAAATAGCGATAATGTGACGAGAGGTTAGCAAAGTTTCGTCTGTGGAAAAGGCATTTCAGGGAAATAAATAAATCCCTACAAAACGGTGTAAACGCTTTTGAATTCGGTCATGGTTGAAAAGGAAGATTGAGCATCTTCGACCCAGATATGACTGCAGTAATTCATTTTTGGTCCGATCTAACTCTGTTAACTTGCAGTATAAGCACCATCATTGATCCAAAGCAGTCCCCCATCTAAGTACTGACGCCGCTTATATTCTCTGATCGAAAGAGAACATAAGAGGGATGCTCGGATTTTGAGCTTGATGGCGCCAGGTTTCTGGCTACTGTTTAGTGTAAGTATGGATACTCCGTTAACAGTGGGTACTAAGGGGGAAGAAAGACAAATGACCCGATTTCTCTGGTCGGAAGACCCGTCAGGGTTTAAGCTTCCAACAAAATACGGCGACAGTGGCCGAACACTTAGAGGTGTGTATGCGTAGATCGAGATTTTTAAAAGTGTCCGGACAGGCGTGACGCACGAAGAAGAAAAAAACTGCACCACTGACGAGAAGATTCAGCAAGTTTGAAACGTGGTAATGGGGGACCGGCGAGTTGACATCGATGAGGTAGCATGTTCCCTGCAGATTTGGGTCACTGCTGGTTGTTCATCCTTGGCGCACACTGCTTGTGGGGTGGCCATGTTTACACTGTAACTGAAGCAAGGAAACTGACACGATCAAGCTCAAACTTCGATCACGTGACCACGATAGTATCAACTATAAGCGCACCTGAGCAAAAGGCAATGTGACAAACCTAAAGATATATTATTGTGCGAATACATTTTGACTTACCCTCGTATATTATTATATAATATTCTTTCCAAATGACATGATGTATTGTGTAACCTGAGAGGTACCCCTGGAGAAACATCCCTGGCTTGACCTATTGTAAGAGGAAAATGCGTGTTTTTACCAAGGGCAGAAACGGACACATGGAAAGACAGAAAGAAAGAAAGAACGAACAGACAGACAGACAGAAAGAAAGAAAGAAAGAAAGAGAGAACAGATAGACAGAAAGAAAGAAAGAAAGAACAGACAGACAGAAAAAAAGAAAGAAAGAAATAACAGACAGAGAGACAGAAAGAAAGAAAGAACAGACAGACAGACAGAAAAAAGAAAGAACAGACAGACAGACAGAAAGAAAGAAAGAAAGAATGAAAGAACAGACAGACAGACAGATGGAAAGAAAGAAAGAAAGAACAGACAGACAGACAGACAGAAAGAAAGAAAGAAAGAAAGAAAGAAAGAACAGAGAGAAAGAAAGAAAGTACAGACAGACAGACAGACAGAAAGAAAGAAAGAAAGAAAGAAAGAAAGAAAGAAAGAAAGAACAGGCAGACAGACAGACAGAAAGAAAGAAAGAAAGACAGAAAGAAAGAAAGAAAGAACAGACAGGCAGACAGAAAGAAAGAAAGAAAGAACAGACAGACAGAAAAAGAAAGAAAGAAAGAACAGACAGACAGACAGAAAAAAGAAAGAACAGACAGACAGACAGACAGAAAGAAAAAAAGAAAGAAAGAACAGAGAGAAAGAAAGAAAGTACAGATAGACAGACAGACGGAAAGAAAGAAAGAACAGACAGACAGAAAGAAAGAAAGAAAGAAAGAAAGAAAGAAAGAACAGAGAGAAAGAAAGAAAGTATAGACAGACAGGCAGAAAGAAAGAAAGAAAGAAAGAACATGCAGACAGACAGACAGAAAGAAAGAAAGAACAGAGAGAAAGAAAGAAAGTACAGATAGACAGACAGACAGACAGAAAGAAACAACAGACAGACAGTCAGACAGAAAGAAAGAAAGAAAGAACAGAGAGAAAGAAAGAAAGAAAGAAAGCACAGGCAGACAGACAGAAAGAAAGAAAGAAAGAAAGAAAGAAAGAAAGAAAGAACACAGAGAAAGTACAGAGAGACAGGCAGACAGACGGAAAGAAAGAAAGAAAGAAAGAAAGAAAGACGGAAAGAAAGAAAGAAAGAAAGAAAGAAAGAAAGAAAGAACAGAGAGATAGATAGAAAAAGCAAACGATTGTGAGAGTATAAGAGGGACATTGTTGTGTAGGTAGGGAGTAAAACCTTTTTCTCACACTACCCACACATCTGTAATATTGTGCATACATATAATATATATATATATATATATATATATATATATATATATATATATATATATATATGTGTGTGTGTGTGTGTGTGTTCATGTTGACAGAGATAGAGGGAGAAAGATAGTGTCAAGATAGGGGTTAAAGTAGAAATGCAGAAAGATATATTATGGCGAAACTGGATAATTTTTGACACCTTCAGTGTAATACATTTTTAGAAAACTTCCCCTTTGATTTTAAAAAAAAATCCTCTTAAACGCGAAAATACACAGCGTGATGGATATCGCTGCCAAAACAGGAATTACCAAACAGGCAAGTTCCGGTTTAGTTCACTGCGTTTACTAGGAGAAAGACATGAACTCTGTCTGTGTGCTCTAAATAACAGGTTAGACTTATTTGTCATGGGTGGCAGTGAACCAGGGAGACGAACAATGCCAATGAGGAAGGCAACAGGAGAACCACTCAATTATCTTTTCCAAGAAGTCATGAAATTCAAAGATATTAATAAAAAGGAATGTGTGGAGGGTCATGATCGCCTAAGCTCTGAAGAGACATGACTTAAAATAAAAGGGAATCTTCGCAATATTTTTATTTCTATATTTATTCTCAAAATGATATCAGAAGGAGCAATAAAATGCAAAAGTACGTAGACCCACGTTTTATAGAATAGGCAAAAGCCTTTGCTAAAGCACGTCACAAAGTACTATTTGAACTGCCAGGTAAGCTTGATTTATTTGGTAAGTATATTAGAATAATACAAAACTTATACAGCAAGCAAACCTCCTCTAAACGGATATAAAAAGGAATTCAGTATACACATACACACACAGAGGCAGAGAGAGAGAGAGAGAGAGATAGAGAGAGAGGGGCGAGAGGTGCCTAAGACACAGATGTGTCGTCTCACCGGATTATTCAACCGTTACAGTGAGGTGACTCTGGCAGAATTAGAAGTTCTACCAGGATTCATTATTGGCGGTCACAATCTTAACAATATAAGATAAGGGGATAACACGGTGCTGGTATCAGACACAGAAAAGAAACTACAAGTATGCCTATAGAAGGTAGTGAAGGAAAGCGAGAGAAAAGGACTAATCATCAATTGCAAGAGGACAGAATATATATATCGTTGTCAGCAAAAGGAACAGCTGAAGATGCCAACTACGAATGGAGGATGTCAAAATCATGCAAGCGAAAAAATATTTAGAAATTATTTTACCTGAGGAAGGAAAACGCAACACGAAGGTGCAATGGAACAGCAAAAGTTGCCTTCCAAAAGCTAAGCAAAATATTAAGAAATAGGAACATTTCATTAGGAACAGAGTACTGGACTACTATATAATATCAGTCATCCTATATGGTATTAACTGCTGAACAATTTCTTCCCAGATGAAGAAGAGACTTTAGCCAGCAGAAATGTGGTTCTACAGTAGGATACTGAGAATACTATGAACTGAAAATGTGAGCAAATACGAATTTTTAGAGAAAGCGGAAACAAAAAGGATCCTTAAACTTAAAATTCCAAAGAAACAATTGAACTTTCTATAGAAAATTGAAACACTTTATTTAATCTACGGGGACAGTGGAACTAGAACAGGCAGACAGACAGACAGAAAGTAGATTAAAAAAAAAGGGTTCAGTTCTGTATTGCCTCTAGATCTGAATTCCCTCTTCATCTTTGTGAGACGACACATCTATGTCTTTCTCTCTCTCTCTCTCTCTCTCTCTCTCTCCCTGTCTCTGTGTGTGTGTTTATGTGAATACTGAATTCCTTCGAGGTTTACTCGCTGTATAAGTTTTGTATTGTTCTAATATACTTTCCAAATAAATCAAGCTTACCTGGCAGTTCAAATAGTTCTATAAAACGTAGGTCTACGTTCTTTTGCATTTTATTGCTCCTTCTGATATCATTTTGAGAATAAATATCTGAAGAAGGCCGGTAGTCGAAACATTGTGATAACAACAACAAAGATGAAGAAAATAGTCCGAATATAAATAATTTATATAATGGTAGCTCTTTATTTAAGATATTCAGACAGAAAACTCACAGGATATTTTGCAGTCAAGTGGGAGTGAGAGAAGTAATGAATAGCATACCTTATGAGCTTGTGTAAGTGATTGGCAAAACAAAAATTAGGAGATATAAGAAAAAACACAAATATTGCTAGCTGCTACAAAGGACAGCTGTGGAGAACCATGATCACCTACGTCCTGAAGGGACACGGTACATAGAAGAATTATGTTATCATCAAATTCATTTAGTCCTTTCTTTCGCTCGATCTTTCTTTTGTTCTTTCTTTCTTTCTTTCTTTCTTTTTTTCTTTCTTCATATTTTTTCTTTCTTTCGTACTTATTACATTCGCTCTTTTTTCTTTTGGTCTTTCTTTCAATTTGGCTCTTTCTTTTGCTATTTGTTTGTTTATTTTTGTATTTCTTTCTTTCTTTCTTTCTTTTGCTCTGTCTTTCTTGTTTTCGCGCTTTCTTTGTTTCTTTTTTCTTTCTTTCTTTCTTTCGTTTCCTGTCTTTCTTTCGCTTTCTCTTTCTTTCTTTCGCTCTTTTTTTTTTCTTTTATTCGACTGTACCTTCTATTTTTTCTTTAAGTAAATTTTTTTTTGTATTCAGCGTATTCTTTCAAATGAATTGTAATATTTTTAATTTTTTCGACATTTTCTTTTAACTTACTTTTCTAAATGTTCGCTTCTTCCTTTCTTTTTCCTTTCTTCCTCCTGGAATTTCGATTCTTTCTTTCTTTCGTTTTTTTCTTCAGTGAATTTCGTTTATTTCATTCTTCCCCTTATATAGCATACGACAAAGAAACTGTACTTGAACCACGCACCGTATTGTCCATGCAGCGCACCGAAAGCGACGCATGCGCACAACCAATGCTCTAGCCCGCCCGCCATCAAGTGTCGTCTCGTCTTGCCATTCGTCACTAACACGTTCGTCTAGAAGTGCACCTCGCTTTCACTGAGAGCTCAACAATAGCAATAAACCTCAGAGTGCCCAGCTTGATAGGTCCATTTTGGAAAAATTTCATTATTTGTCGTAATTTTCTGTTTCGCCAGGAGTTGTTGAATATCTAATTCAGTTGGATGCAGACAATCCCTGACACAGGAGGGGGGCATCCAGCGTCTCTCATTGGAAAGCGCACGTTTCAGCTATGTTGGCATCAACAATACTTCGAAGAATATGTCATTTCAAGCTTTAGGGCCGATTTCTATAGCTAGTAACAAGAGTAATAAGCACTAAAGACATTTGTGCAGTGAGCCGGGATATACCTTGAGGAATGTTCCAAAATGTTGCGGCCTATTTTCTCCCTGAAACTACAAAAAACACAAGATGCCTAAAAACAGCATTGGTTAGAGCAAGGTTTCAGTTATGCACAGTCATTTCTCATATAACCATTATTATTGGCTATACATTTTCACAAGCGACAAACAACAGCCTTCAGGTAGTGATCATAAACGTATCTTGTTGAAATGTATAATCTACCGGCCAACCGTGCTCAGATCCATTAACTGATCTCTATAAACTTGTGTTAATGACTGAATTTTTTTCGGAATGGTAGAATATAATATACACACTTATTATTTGTAAAAATTTCGTATCAGACGCAATTTTCCTATACTGTGCTGGAGCTGCTATCTGAAATAAGGCAAAACTTTGTTTTTTTTATATCATTGCTCACCCAATATAAGTTTGAAGAGCCACTTAAGGTAGAGGATTACTGAACAATGTTGTAAGGGAAAAGATAGAAGTAAGAGGAAAAGAGTAGATGTGCATATCATTTTTTACAATGATGTTAACTCTTTCTAATGACCGAGAGCCACTCGATGTAAAGGCACAGTTTATGCAGATATGTGGGAAGCTAGCGATTAAGACTGGCCTTGAAGTATATCCTCTTGGTAGTCGGTTCCATGAAGTAGCGGTTCGTGAGAATAAACTCCTCGAGCTGAACTTACATCACACTAATTGAACACGAGCGGAATAAGAGTGGTTCGATACAATTAGTAAGGCATAGCGCGTCTTATCTGTGAAGGTCTGAACTGGTGGAACTAAGGAATGTAGTCCGTCCGAGGACTTTCCATCGAAATAGCGATAGAGCTGCGAGATGCTTGCGACGTATCGTATATATGGAGGTAAGGAGGTTGTAGATTGAAAAATAATTCATTACGCACAAGGACGCGGTTACTTTAGCAAGAGTCTCAGCAGTACTCCATTTTCGTCTTGATCTAACTCTTGTAAAGGTAAGGGATAACAGATATCAGCTACTGACTGGATGGGAATATGTTGGAATGATAATGAACGACCCTAAACTTGAAGAGGTTAAAATTGTGATCAGGGAAGCATCCCCACAGGATACTGTTTAACAAAGCAGTGGCTCTCTGTGTTGAACTTCCTCCTTACCGATGGAATATAAAGGGAATTAGATGAGTCAGCTATGTGTATGTAGCATGGTGAGTCCTCGCTCTAAAGGTCTGAGTTAGTTGAACTAATGGATGGATTGAACACTTGATATGAAAATAGCGATAGATTAACAAGAGGCTAGTATCTTGTTTGTTGGAAAGCAGTTTCAGAGTGAAAAACAGTTCATCACCCACAAGGCTGCGTAAACACGATCAACGTTAGACAGTAAGAACTGGACAGCTTCGGCAGAAACATGACATCAATGTCCTAATTTTGGTTTGATTTCTTTTAAAAATAAAGCATAGCAGGAGGAGTCAGGTACTTTCTAGTTCGATGCAAGAAACCGATCATTCTTTCACCATCTTCAGTGATGGTGGGGATATAGAGGTTCCTCTTGAGGCCGGAAGTGAGCTTAATTCTAAAAGACGTTCGAAGCACGGATGCTCACTGAGAAAACAACTGCTCATCAGGATTGCAGGAAATTTGGAATCTGCTCGCCGGTGACTAAAAGTTACCAGTTTAGTTGTGAAGTTATTAAATAATCCAAACAAGTGGACTGAGAGAACTAATTTAGTGGGAGACCAGCAGTCAGTGTCTGGACATGTTTTGAGTGGGAAAATCAAAATCTACTTCTGCAAACATTGTGGGTTCACATAATAAATTAGGCGGAACGACATTTAGAGTGAACTTAGTTGTAAAGCCTGTGTAATGTTTATGTAGCATGTGCCTCAATTGCGATGAGAGATGACAGCTCTTGTTAATAGTCAGGCTATGAACTTTTCAGTCAATCATCATACCTGGAAAGAAACAATACAGTTACTAATAAGACGAGATGAAATGATATTTCACACCTTGTTCATGGTCAGGCTATGAACTTTTCATCCTAACATCGTACCTGTAAAGAAACAATGCTGTTAGTAATAAGATTAGTGCATGCAATATTTCACAGCTTGTTCATAGTCAGGCTATGAACTTTTCATCCTACCATCGTACCTGTAAAGAAACAATGCTGTTCGTAATAAGATTAGTGCATGCAATATTTCACAGCTTGTTCATAGTCAGGCTATGAACTTTTCATCCTACCATCGTACCTGTAAAGAAACAATGCAGTTAGTAATAAGATTAGTGCATGCAATATTTCACAGCTTGTTCATAGTCAGGCTATGAACTTTTCATCCTAACATCGTACCTGTAAAGAAACAATGCAGTTAGTAATAAGATTAGTGCATGCAATATTTCACAGCTTGTTCATAGTCAGACTATGAACTTTTCATCCTACCATCGTACCTGTAAAGAAACAATGCTGTTAGTAATAAGATTAGTGCATGCAATATTTCACAGCTTGTTCATAGTCAGGCTATGAACTTTTCATCCTACCATCGTACCTGTAAAGAAACAATGCTGTTAGTAATAAGATTAGTGCATGCAATATTTCACAGCTTGTTCATAGTCAGGCTATGAACTTTTCATCCTACCATCGTACCTGTAAAGAAACAATGCAGTTAGTAATAAGATTAGTGCATGCAATATTTCACAGCTTGTTCATAGTCAGGCTATGAACTTTTCATCCTAACATCGTACCTGTAAAAAGAAACAATGCAGTTAGTAATAAGATTAGTGCATGCAATATTTCACAGCTTGTTCATAGTCAGACTATGAACTTTTCATCCTACCATCGTACCTGTAAAGAAACAATGCTGTTAGTAATAAGATTAGTGCATGCAATATTTCACAGCTTGTTCATAGTCATTTTTTCATCCTACCATCGTACCTTGTTCAATGCAGTTAGTCAGGCTATAGAACTTTTCATCCTACCATCGTACCTGTAAAGAAACAATGCAGTTAGTAATAAGATTAGTGCATGCAATATTTCACAGCTTGAACTTTTCATAGTCAGGCTATGAACTTTTCATCCTAACATCGTACCTGTAAAGAAACAATGCAGTTAGTAATAAGATTAGTGCATGCAATATTTCTTTTCATCCTAGCTTGTTCATAGTCAGACTATGAACTTTTCATCCTACCATCGTACCTGTAAAGAAACAATGCTGTTAGTAATAAGATTAGTGCATGCAATATTTCACAGCTTGTTCATAGTCAGGCTATGAACTTTTCATCCTACCATCGTACCTGTAAAGAAACAATGCAGTTAGTAATAAGATTAGTGCATGCAATATGTCACAGCTCTAGCACCACTTGTTCATCGTAAACTTGCAATCATTTCTCCCCACCCTCGTATTTGCAAAGAAATAATACACTTATTAATAAGATTTCACAGCTCAAGCATCACCTCTTGGCAGACCAAATATGAATTTTTTCAACAAACCCTTGTCCTGCTTTAACGTATCGTAAATAGTATATTATTATAATTAATTCTTTTTCTCTCTGATTTCTCGCTTCCGGACTCATGCTTTGTAGTTAACTTTGATCTTTAAAAACGTAAATGCAATATCAATTATTATCTTAAGTATTCTTAATTCCTGTTCTTTTATTGTTGTTCCTCCTTAATAATGTTTTCCTTTTTCGCATATTCTCTCATACTTAGTAACCCATCTTAGTGTCTTTAATCAGTCAGTAGTTCACTTTTGAACAGACTGCTCGGTTTGAACTCTCTTCCTATGGGCGGGAGGAACCCGAAGGAGGCTACGCCGAAGGGCGGAGTCTCCTTCGGGGAGGTTAAACCGGCCCTGAACCCGTCTATACGGGTTCAAATGGGTTATTTTTTGGCCGAGCCTAATGGCTCGGCAATGCCCACGTTAAAAAGGCCTTGTGCCACATGACACCCTCGTGGGTGGGTGACTGAATATCATCTTAGTGGCTTTAATGCCGTACTTGATATGAAATGATTAAAAAAAAATTAAAATTACAATATTATTATTCCGCTAACTGTTGCTTATCACCATACCTTAAAAGTGGTAACTACCTAAATATCTTAATCACAGTTTGAGTGCAAAGGGAAGTAAGCTGATATTTCGGTACTATGTTTTGAATATCTAATAATTTTTATAAATTATAATATTTTGTATATGAACTAAGCAATAACCGTGGTGTTTAAATATATTTAACTGTTTTAATTGAAGCAATTTCTTTAGCAACATTGAACAACATACGGCGATATTTCAAATAAATGACTGCATTTGATCAACGCAAGCGTTTCTCCAAAGCTGTTTT